ATGCGGATGACACCCAACTCTACCTTTCCTCCTCTACCCTCAACTCCACGACCACCGATGTCCTGACAGCTGCCTGTCCGACATCGAGTCCTGGACGAGAGACAACTTTCTTCAGCTCAACGTGCGAAAAACTGAGGCCCTCCTGATTGGCTCACGTCAGCGCCTCCGCACCTCAGGCGCTGACAGCATCAGCATCCAAGGCTGCACTCTCCACCTCTCAAAGCCAGTCAGGAACCTCGGGGTTCTGTTCGACCCTGAGCTGTCCTTTCTCCCTCATATCCGCGCCACAACTGGCACCGCCTTCCATCACCTCCGGAACATCGCCAGACTACGGCACTACCTCACCCCTCACGCTGCTGAAACTCTGGTCCACGCCTTTATCACCTCAAGGCTGGACTATGGGAACTCTCTCCTCGCCGGCCTTCCCGCACCTCCCTCCACACGCTGCAGGTCATTCAGAACTCTGCAGCTCGTGTACTGTCCCGCACCAGGCTTCGGGACCACATCACACCCACCCTCGCTCGCCTCCACTGGCTCCCCATCCCCCAGAGGATCGAATTCAAGATCCTCATCCTCAACTAGAAGGCCATTCACGGCCTTGCTCCCTCCTACCTCTCCGACCTACTATCCCCCTACCCTCCGTTCCTCTGGCTCTGGTCTGCTCCACATCCCCCGCCCCAACCGCCCTACCATCGGTGGCCGGGCCTTCAGCCTCTCAGCCCCGAGGCTCTGGAACTCTATCCCCCAGTGCCTTCGCCGCCTCCTCCCTTTCCTCCTTCAAGGCCGGTCTCAAGACCTTTCTCTTTGACCGAGCCTTCAGCTCCCCTCTCGACTCTCTACCCCCTCCTCGCTCCCTCCCTTCCCTCACCCTGACCATTTCCCCCCTGACCCAACTGTGCAGCGCCTTGGGACGTCCTCCCGACGTGAAAGGCGCTCTATAAATGGAATCTTGTTGTTGAGGAGGAGAAAGCAAGAGAAAACTGCCGAATAAGTTACTAAAAACAAAGTTCAAACATTATTCTGCATTGCAGTTTGCAAGAGTCACCCATAGCATTTAATTGTAACAGATATGTAGATGCGTTCCTATTTTAACTTTCCCCCTTCCTGCTCCTGAAGGCACTGCTGACTCGTGCTGAGGTGAGTGTCAGCAGCCCAGACCCTTGAGCCCTCACAGCCCTCGTCATTCGGGGAAATCAGTGGGAAATTGGCTGATTTTGCCCTCCTCTAACCTGGGGATGTTGTTTGACTTGAGAATAGTTTAACACAGCACAGACAGAAATCTATCCGGGGCCTCCTATTTCTGCGCGGCTTAAATTAACACGAGGCAGGGACAACTTCTACAATTGTGTCGCTGCAATCTGTAACTTTTTTTCCACAAAAAAAAATCCACACTCAGTGCACATCATCTCACACAACGTTGCAAATGGAAAGTTGGGCATTTTGAACCATGCTATCTGCCAGTTCTTATCCCCCCCACGAATTGCGCACATGTAAGAAGAGCTACTTCCTGCTCTTTCAAAATTCAAACTGCGTCAAGAAAAACAGGAAGGTGGTAACGTCGGATCTCAGAAATGTGGTTGAGTGTCACAACAGGGTGTGAAGCGATTGCAATTCAAGCATTGCAGGAGGTCAGTAAGAGCAGTCCAGAGAGGAAGGAGCGAGTGTCGGGAGTCAGTGGGGCTGGGTACGCGACTATGACTCGTTGAATAATCCCTTCCCTATAGTAATAATAATCCTCGCATTTGGTACAGCGCCTTATCACGTCTTTGTGGCGTCTCAAAGCGCTTCGCAGAATATACCGTAAAGTGGAGTGACTTGTGCCTGGCTCTCCCCCCCCCCCCCACCCCCAATTCGTTCATCCCACAAAGACCAGGATTTGTGAGGCTAAGTGCTGGCCGGGGCAGGCGGGCGCTGATCTGGTCAGAGGGCTGTACTTATCAAGATTTGCTTTGCGGCCAACCCACCAGAGACTCATAAAGAGGACTGGGGTGGGGCAGGACATGACACCAGTCATACTGTTCTGCTGCCAGACACGGAAGACTTGAGTTGTTTGTACATTAAAAATCCCCTGAAGCACTTCTGTCTCTCTCTCTCTCGCTCTCTCTCCCGCCCGCCATCTCCTCTTTAGGATCAAATGAAATTTAAACAGATCTAAAGATCGGGTGTGGTGGGGTTGGGAGGAGGATTAGGAATTAACTCCACGCAGCCTTCTAACGTGTTAGAAAACAAAACCTTTGCAACAAGCTTTTCTCGTCTTAAGAGCCGCAGGTTTACCTGAGCTCAGGCAATGGTGAGGAGCAGATACCTTGTAACTGGTGATCGATCGCACAGCCCCAATACATTGTAACAGGTGATCGATCTTCACAGCCCCAATACATTGTAACAGGAGATCGATCTGCACAGCCCCAATACATTGTAACAGGTGATCGATCTTCACAGCCCCAATACATTGTAACAGGTGATCGATCTTCACAGCCCCAATACATTGTAACAGGTGATCGATCTGCACAGCCCCAATACATTGTAACAGGTGATCGATCTGCACAGCCCCAATCGGAAGCCTCTCGTTATCCACAAACACACACAGAGTTTAAAATGTAATGAACACACAGAGGGGAGAGAGGGGGACAGGGTGGGGGGGGGAGAGGGGGACAGGGTGGGGGGGGAGAGGGGGACAGGGTGGGGGGGGAGAGGGGGACAGGGTGGGGGGGAGAGGGGGACAGGGTGGGGGGGGAGAGGGGGACAGGGTGGGGGGGGAGAGGGGGACAGGGTGGGGGGGGAGAGAGGGACAGGGTGGGGGGGGAGAGAGGGCGGGACAGGGTGGGGGGGAGAGAGGGCGGGACAGGGTGAGGGGGGAACAGGGGGACAGGGTGAGGGGGGGAACAGGGTGGGGGGAGAGAGGGGAACAGGGTGGGGGGGAGAGGGGGGACAGGGTGGGGGGGGGGAGAGGGGGACAGGGTGGGGGGGAGAGAGGGGGACAGGGTGGGGGGGGAGAGAGGGGGACAGGGTGGGGGGGGGAGAGAGGGGGGGACAGGGTGGGGGGGAGAGAGAGGGGGGGACAGGGTGGGGGGGAGAGAGAGGGGGGACAGGGTGGGGGGGAGAGAGAGGGGGGACAGGGTGGGGGAGAGAGGGAGGGGGACAGGGTGGGGGGGAGAGAAAGAGAGGTGGGGGGAGAGGGAGAGGGCGATGGGGGAGTGGGCGATGGGGGAGAGGGGCGATGGGGGAGTGGGGCGATGGGGGAGTGGGGCGATGGGGGAGGGGCGATGGGGAGTGGGGAGTGGGGCGATGGGGAGTGGGGAGAGGGGCGATGGGGGAGAGGGGCGATGGGGAGTGGGCGATGGGGGGAGGGGGAGAGGGGCGATGGGGGAGAGGGGAGTGGGGCGATGGGGGAGTGGGGCGATGGGGGAGTGGGGAGAGGGGCGATGGGGAGAGGGGCGATGGGGAGAGGGGCGATGGGGGAGAGGGGCGATGGGGGAGAGGGGCGATGGGGGAGAGGGGCGATGGGGGAGAGGGGCGATGGGGGAGAGGGGCGATGGGGAGGGGGAGAGGGGGCGATGGGGAGTGGGGCGATGGGGGAGTGGGGCGATGGGGGAGTGGGGCGATGGGGGAGGGGGCGATGGGGGAGAGGGGCGATGGGGAGAGGGGCGATGGGGAGAGGGGCGATGGGGGAGAGGGGCGATGGGGGAGAGGGGCGATGGGGGAGAGGGGCGATGGGGGAGGGGGCGATGGGGGAGAGGGGCGATGGGGGAGGGGGCGATGGGGGAGGGGCGATGGGGAGAGGGGCGATGGGGGAGAGGGGCGATGGGGAGAGGGCGATGGGGGAGAGGGGCGATGGGGGAGAGGGGCGATGGGGGAGAGGGGCGATGGGGGGGGGAGAGGGGCGATGGGGGAGAGGGGCGATGGGGGAGGGGGGAGAGGGGCGATGGGGGAGAGGGGAGAGGGAGAGCAGGGGAAGCAGATAGCGCCGACAGCCCGGGGTGGGCTGAGCTGAGCTGTATTCCCGGTAACTCGGGACGAGAGTCGCTTTCTTCAATTGAACTCTAAACCCGCGATCGACCGCCAACAACAACCCCGAAGCAAAACGGTGTGAAAAGCCGCGGATCGGGAGCCAACGCCACAGTACACAGTGCAAACCCAAAGGCAATGGCGCCGCCATTACCAACACTCATCGAGAGGGGAAGAGGAGGAGAGGAGAGGAGGAGGAGAGGAGAGAGGAGAGAGGAGAGCCTTGAAACCAAAACCTGTCCTCCGTTAAACCACCGGAGTCCCTTTTTTAATCTTTCTTTTTTCTTCTTCTTCTCTAAAACAAATAATGCATTTTAAACCATTCCCCTCCTCCCCTCTCTCTCTTTCTTTCCCTCTCTTTCTCTCTCCTTCTCTTTCTCTCTCTTTCTTTCCTTCTCTTTCTCTCTCTTTCTTTCCCTCTCTTTCTCTCTTTCTTTCCCTCTCTTTCTCTCCTTCTCTTTCTCTCTCTTTCTTTCTCTCTCTTTCTTTCCCTCTCTTTCTTTCCTTCTCTTTCTCTCTCTTTCTTTCCCTCTTTCTTTCCCTCTCTCTTTCTTTCCCTCTCTCTTTCTTTCCTTCTCTCTCTCTTTCTTTCTCTCCCTCTCCCTCTCTCTGCTCGAGAGATTTTTTTTTGAGGGGTGTGGGGGTGGGAGAGAGAGAAAAAAGTGAAAGGATCTCTCTCCGCCGCCTTAAAAACACACACACACGAAAAAACAACACCGCACCAAACAAAACGAAAAGAACGAGAAAAGAAAAGAATAAACCTCGATGGAGGAGGGGTGGGGGGGGGGGGGTGGAGGGGCATGGAGGGGGAGAAGGGGGGGATGGAGGAATGGAGGGGGGGATGGAGGAGGAGGAGGAGGGGGGGATGGAGGGAGGAGGGGGGGATGGAGGGATGGAGGAGGATTGAGGGATGGAGGAAGAGGATGGAGGGAAGGAGGGAAGGAGGAGGGGGGGATGGAGGGAAGGAGGAGGAGGAGAGGATTTTCGCTGCTTACCATCTCGGAGCCTGTGTTGCACTCACAGAGAGAGTGAGTGAGTGAGTGGAGTGGAGTGAGTGAGAGAGAGAGAGAGACCGGTGGAGGAGAGGAGGAGACGAAAAGCACTTGAGAAGACGGTGGCGGTGGTGGTGGGGGGTGTGGGGTGAGGGGGGGGGAGACTCGCACTGACTGAGAGCTGCTGCAGGAACCTGGAAACAAGACTACGAGAGCCTCGGGAGCTGCTTATTTCCTGGATTGGCGCACACTCGCACACCCATTGGCTCACACCAGCTCTCATGTCGATTGACATACATATATATATATATATATATGTGTGTGTGTGTTGTTGTCGTTGTTGTGTGCGTGCGTGCGTGCACCGTCACTCATCGGGAAAGAAAAGTGCAATCAAAAGAAATCATCCCCCAATCCCACCCCCACCCAACCTCACCCACTCCCCACCTCCCTCCCTCCCTCCATCCCCACTCCTTCCCCTCCTGCTTTGTGCAATGGTATATCAGGACAGTGAGGGCTGGTGCTGTGGATCACTCTTTAATGTGGATTTATTTGACTCTGTGTGTGTGTGTGTGGGGTTTTTTTTTTTGGTGGGGGGGGGGGGGGGGGGGTGTGGGGGGAGTGTAAAGGGGGAGAGACTTCTTCTGCAACACCAGCAAAATGTCATCGTTAGCCAATGGCAGGACGGGATGAAAGCAATTCCCAAATATGGACTGAAAACATTCAAGGTGTTAACAAGCGAAAGAGGCGTAAAATTGGCCTTATATGGTGCTGTTGGGCTCGGATTCGTTGCCATCGCTGGAGGCCTTTTTGTGTTGGTTATGGCCCGTCTGAGCCTTTCTGCAGAGAAAGAGGAAATGGGACACACACACACACACACAACACACACCGCACACACCAAACACACACACACACAAAAAAAATGCAATGTCCCTTTGTGTGAAGAGGGCGAAAAGCAAATATTTCAGAGGACTTCCAAGAGACAAATGGGAGGCCCAAAGTGTTCAGTGAAAAGAAACACCAGCACTTCTTTTTGCTTCCTGTCGCGAGGATTTTTACTCTCTCTCTCTCTCTCTCTCTCTTATTTTTTTCTTCACTTGCGATCTTGTGAGCGCGGTTGAGTTTTATCGACTTCGTTTTGAAAAAAAAAGACAACGGGTGCGACACATGCTGTTCGGCGATTGATAGATACACCGGAGGTGCAGATGCACACGCCGTGCGGTGTGTTCGTGCGCTCAGGTGTACCCGCACCTAATATCTACAAGTCAAAAGCTTCCAAGTGCAGAAACTGGTGGAATCATTGCTGTTCGTGATGAGCAGGAGGGCGCAGAAATGCATTCTACTTTTGAGTTACGCTGCTCACAGTACAAAACAAAACTACATTTGTAAAGCTCCTTTCATGTTGGGAGGACGTCCCAAGGCAGGGATTAGGACCGGGGCGGGAGTTGGGATCAGGGAGGGTGAAGGCCAGAGAAGGTAGTAGTGTGGCTGAGGCATGGTCGAAGAAGAAGGGTCTTGAGAGGCGTGCCTTGAAAGAGGCAAGGGAGGGAGGGAGGCAACGGGAATATGGGATGGAGTTCCAGAGGGTGAGGCAGAGAAGCTCAAGGCCCAACCGCCGATGGTGGGCCAGGCCGGTAGTGGGACATGGAGCAGGCTGGAGCCTGCTGAGCGGAGAGAGTGGACAGTTTGATAAGGGTTAGCAGGTCGGAGAGGTAGGAGGGGGCAAGGCCATGGAGGGCCTTGAAGGTGAGGCTGAGAATTTTGATCTCGACCCTCTGAAGGATGGGGAGCCAGTGGAGTCAGGTGAGGCTGCATGTGATGGGGTCACGGAGCCTGGTGCGGAAGAGGACACGATCTGCAGAGTTCTGGATGATCTGCAGCTTGTGGAGGGAAGAGTTGGGAAGGCCGACAAGCAAGGCGTTGGTATAGTTGAGCCTGGATGTAATGAAGGAATGTATGAGGTTTTTGGTGGCCTGAGGAGTGAGGCAGTGGGGGAGTCAGGCAATGTTGTGGAGCTGGGGGAAGGCAGAGCGGGTCATGGCACAAATGTGGGGGAGAAGGGACAGTTGAGGGTCGAACAAGATGCCTAGGTTCCTGAGTGGCTTAGTAAAGTGGAGTGGGCATCCATAGATGCTGATACTGCCAATGCCTGAGGTGCGGAGGCACTGGCACGAGCCAATCAGGAAAGCTTCAGTCTTGCTGATGTTCAACTATAAAAAGTTGGCTCTCGACCCAACTTGATGTCTGACAAGCAGTCTGTCAGGACATTTGTCTTGGAATCGAGGGTGGAGGCAGAGAGGTAGAGTTTGGTGTCATCCACGTCATGTGGAAGTTGACCCCATGTCTGCGGAGGATGTCACTAAGAGGGAGCATGTAATTGCAGAGTGCAGTTGGGGGGAGTGTTCTTTGGATTTGTGTGTCAGCCTTGCTCAGTGATAGGGTTTTCAAGCCCCACATCGGGAATCACATTGTCTAAACCATAGTGGTTTTACCTTTTGGCTGCCTCAGGCTGGATTCTCTATTTGCTGGTGGACCAAGGGCTACATCCGGCCCGGCTGGTAATTTTATCCGGCCCGAGACCATTTCCACCATTCCAACTTCCACTCCCTCTCTAATAATAATAATAATAATCCTTGCATTTGATATAGCGCTTTTCATGTCTTCTAGACATCTCAAAGCGCTTCACAGAATCTACTGTAAAGTGAATTGACTGTATATTTGTGGGCAAACGTGGCAGTCAATTGCGCACAGTAATGTCCCACAAACAGTCGTGGATTGAAAATGACCAATTTATTATTGTTTTGTTTTGGAGGGATTATTATTAGGTGTGTGGAGTAAGGAAACTTGCCCAAGGTTTCACCCTCTGCCTGGAATTGAACTCAGGTCTCTCGCTTGCAAAGCGAGTGCTCTAACCACTGAGCTACAGGTCTCTCTCCCTAGTGAACATCCTCCAAGGGCAGCGACAGGAGCTGGCGGTTGGGAGGACGCTCAGGAAGGCAAGAGCATCGCTTGCCAATCGCGTTCTTAGCAACTTAGCAGATAGTGCCCACCGTGGCTGATTGGGAGAGGGAGGATTGAAAGGGTGGCGGAGAGGGGGAGAGAGAAGGGGGAGAGTTCTAGTAGATACTGCAATAACAGCCGGCATTTTTTCGACTCTGCGAGCTGCGTCCTCCCAACTGCTGGCTCCTGCCATTGCCATGGAAGGAAGACAGGCAGGCAGGCAGGGAGGCAGGCAGGGAGGGAGGGAGGGCGGGAGCAGAAGTTGGAATGTTTGAAAATGGTCGCGGGCCAGATAAAATCACCGCTGGGCCAGATGCTGCCCATGGGCCGCCTGTTGGATTACACTCGTCTAAGCTGACACTCCAGTGCTCCTGATCTCATCTCCTGTTCAGGTGGATGTTAAAGATCTCATGTCACTATTCAAAAAGAGTTTCTCTTGGAGCCCTGGCTAACAAATTCCCCAAATAAAATTGATCATTCATTCCATGGCTGTTTGTGGGTCATTGCTGTGTGCAATTGGCTGCCATGTTTCGCCCACAAAATACATAGTCAATCCACTATGGTTTGGGCAATATCTGCACAAGGTAAGTGAACCTCATACATTTTGAATGCTGACAAACATACGTGACATTTTATTCACCACAATTATTAAAAACTACTTTTGGAGACACCAAATTGCAGGACAAAAGGTCACAGGTCGCAGGGTTGCCATGGGCAAGATTAGTACAGACACTAGGAAGCATTACTTTATACAGAGGGTAATCACTCTAATAATAATTATTATATTATTATTACTATATAGGGTAATCAATGGCTTAAAAAGGTTACTGGAAAGAATGGTTTTAGATAGGGGACTGGATGCATTTAAGAAACAACTTTATGCTGTAGAGTAAGTATTCAATTCTCAACAGACACTACCCTGTGTGAAGAGTGCTATATAAAAGCAAGTCATTGAGTTTTTGTTGATTCTGGGAGGATCAGATCAAGTAAGCCAACAGATCATCTTTGATCACTTGTAATGTGATATTTTGGAATATAAAACCATCATTTTGACAATTAATATAACCCCTAATCACATTGTCATAATATCTCAAAGCGTTTCACAGGATTTACTGTAAAGTATTGAGAATGTGTATTTGTAAGTAATTGCAGCAGACAGTTTGCGCACAGCAATGTCCCACAAATATCCATGAAGTGAGTGATCAATTTTATCTGAGAGAGACTGTTGATCAGGACACCAAGAGAAACTCCTTTCTCTTTTCTAATCCTGCTGTGGGATCTTTAATGTCCACCTGTACACATAGACCGGATCTTAACACTTCCTTTAACACTTTAACAGCATAGCTGCCAAACAACTGTGTAAGCTTAAGGTAAGCAAATCCAAAGGGCCAGATAAATTGTATCCAAGGATCCTTAAGAAACTAAGGGAGGAAATTACAGGAATTCTGACATAAATAGTTCAGAAATCACTGGGTATTGGAGAAGTGACTGGGGACTGGAGAAAGGCAGATGTTACTCCTATTTTTTTTAAAAAAGGTAACAAAAGTGACCCAAGGAACTATAGGCCAGTGAGTTTGATGTCCATTGGGGGTAAACATATGGAGCCTCTTATTAAAAATAAGATCATGGAGCATCTGGATAGTAATAAAATGATTTAACAAAAGCCAATATGGGTTTATGAAGGGGAGATCTTGCCAAACTAATTTACCGGTTTTCTTTGACTGTGTGACAAATGATATTGATAAGGGTAACCAGTGGATATTTTATATCTGGATTTCATTAAGGCCTTTGATACAGTTTCTTATGAAAGGCTTGTTCTGAAAATAAAGAAAGTGGGAATCAGAGGAAGTATCTTGGAACGTATATGTAATTGGCTGATCGATAGAACCCAGAAGGTGTTGGTACAGGGAATATCATCAGGTTGAGAGAATGTTACCAGTGGAGTTCCACAGGGGTCTGTTTTGGGACCTTCTTTAATTAACATCTTCATAAACGACCTGTAACTAGGAATCACAAACACAGTGGCTAAATTTGCAGATGGCACAAAGCTAACGAAAGTGGTAGACTGCAAAGATGAACAGGATAGGTTACAGGAGGACTTGAACATTCTTGGGAATTGGGCAGATCGATGGGAGATGAACTTTAATGCTGAGAACTACAAAGTGCTTCACATGTGGACAAAAAAAGGGACTATTATTTAAATGGTAAGAAAATAAACTGTACAGAAAATGAAAAGGACTTGGGAATCCTGACTAATAATAAATTTAAGCCAT